TTGAAAGCCAAAGGAGATGCTATTAATAATTCCTCTAGGATAAAAGATATTATCCAGAAAATAGGGTGTATGTGCATATATCTTTAGAGTAAAAATAAACTGGCAATCAAGACAGCAAATTGTATGATACATGTTTCTAACACAAGAAACACAAACGCAAATTGGCAAGTATTTCTGCTCGTAAAACAAAAATCTATATTTCCCCCCTCTAAAGTAAGGAATATTCACTTACTTTTTGGAGTTTTGAAAAGCTAGCATCCAAATTCAATGTGATGCTTTTTCAGACTGGGAATTGACCAAGTACCACGTGAAGCCCTGTAACTTGAGCTCCTGAAAGTTTACACATGGCAAGATAAGAGGTCTACTGTTGGTACTCCCATTCCAGGGAGCATACATATTTAGAATAAACTTTAAAAGGGCTGAAATCTCACTCAATGAACAGAAATGGCATGGAAGAAATAACATACACACTTTCTTCTGATCCTGGGAAAGTCACTTACGCGTAATTCCTACAGCTGTGACATAGAATGCTTGGATCTTATTCTTCAAAATACTCTACAAGAGAATTCTATTAGAGGGAAGTGGCATTTAGAGGACTCCTCAAATAAGAGAGAACTAATTTACAAAGTGATCCTAACATGTACTCCAGGCTTTTTCATGCACATGAAATAATTTCTTCCCCCTTAGGGCATGGGAGTAAGTCACTATAGGGAGTCACAGCAACAGCAAAGAACTCCACGAATCTTACCAGTACCACCAGGGAGCACTACAGGCCAAAAAGGAGCAAAGCCATTCTACCCAGGACGGGTGAGCCGACGTCACAAACCACCCGTATAAGGTCTGCCTCCCTCTGGACAGATCTCAACCCTCACACGCGCTCCACCTGTGTCCCCAGCCGTGGGCTTGTGCCTAATGGCATATTCTGGCTTTTCGGAGAATTTCCCCCCCAAATGCCTGCCATTCTCCCTGGGCACCAACCCTTCCATCTCCATCCCGTCTCCCTCGTACATACGCTCCTTCCTTCTTCCCTGCACACAGCTGCCGGCCCGACGCCTTTTCCGACGTTCACATACTTCCTACGCAAGTCTCTTCATACAATCTACCTCTTCCGGCACAAACGCCAATACTGTGAATCAACGATTCCCAAAACAAAACATTTCATATAAAGCCTGTTTATAGCAATGGAGATAGGCATTATCATTTAAGGTTGCTTCAAGTTAATTCATCTCTGAAATGTAATTTAGTCCCATACCTCCCAACAGAAAAAAAAAAGACCTAGAGAAGAAAGGGTAAATGAAGCCTGAGCACTAGAGCCTGCTAATTTCTCGGCGATTCCGGTAAATCCAGTTCTGTTCCAGTGGTCAACGCTGTGTTTTCATTTTTTCCTTATTCTATACTCCACATCCACGCATTTCTACTTTGTTATCACTATTATATATTTGCCCCAAACTATTGTTTTCTAGGCCAATGTCAAATCCTTTCATCTTTTGGTCCTACTGATTCTATTATTTTTGCAGCTTTAATGAGAGAATTCACATACCATTCAATTCACCCACTAAAAGTGTACAATTCAGCCCTGGCTGGTGTGGTTCAGTGGATTGAGCATCAGCCTGTGAACCACAAGGTTGCCAGTTCGATTCCCAGTCATGGCACATGACTGGGCCAGGTCCCCAGTGGGGGGGGGGGGCGCGAGACGCAACCACACATTGATGTTTCTTTCTCTTTCTCCCTTTCTTCCTTCCTTCTCCTCTGTCTAAAAACAAATACATAAAATCTTTTTTTTAGAATTCAATAACTTTTAGTATATTCAGAGTTGGGTAGCCATCGTCACAATCAATTTGACAGCATTCCCACTACCCCAGCAAGACACCCTGTACCTCCCAGCAGCCCCTCTTCGCTCCATGCCCTCCTCACCTCCTCCCCAGCCCTACGAAACAATCCCCTTTCTGTCTCCACAGCTTTGCCTTTTCTGGATATTTCATACAAACGGAACTCTACAATATATGATCCTGTGTAACTTGCTTCTTCTGCTGTAACAATTTCAAGGTTCATCCATAATGTCACATGTATCAGTACTTTATTATTTTTCAGTGCTGAAGAATGTCCCCTTGTATGGATATACCGCCTTGGATTCATCCAATCACCAGCTGATGGCGGGCGGGCACTTGGGTTGCTTCCACTTTTTGAGCACTGTGAATAATCCTGCTCTGAAGGTTTGTGTCAAAGTTCTTGTGTGGAGGGATGTTTTTAGTTCTCTGAGGTTTTGCTCTGGGTTGAACCACTGCCCTCCAGAAAAGATATGGTGAAGTCCTAAGCTCCAGTACCTCAGACAGTGACCGTGTTTGGAAAGAGGGTCATTGGAGAGATAACCAAGTTAAAATGAGGTCACTGGGGTGGGCACTTGTCCAATATTACGATGCCCTTATGCAAAGGGGGAATTTGGACAAGAAATAGAGGTCCCCATGGGGAGAATGCCGAGGGAAGCAGAGGGCTGCGGTGATGAACTTACGAACCGAGGAACCAGAGCTTTCCAGCAAACCCCAGAAGCTACAAGAGGAAAGAGTGTGACCTTGCCAACACCTTTATTTAGGAGTTGGAGCCCCACCCCCAAACTGTGAGAAAATTAATATCTATTTTTTTAAGTCATTCGGTTTTTGGTGCACTGTTACAATGGCACTAGGAAACTAACACAGCCATATAGCTTAGGAGTGGAATTGCTGGATCAAACTCTCTATTTAACATCGAGGAGCTGCCAGATTGTCTTCCAAGGAGCTGTACCATTAGATTGTTTCTCAGTGAGTTATTAATGGCTTCAAAACCTCTCTCCAACATAGAAAGTAAACTTTTCTATGTGTAACCTTGCCTTCCACAGGTAATTCTCCCTCCATCCTCACCGTGGTGAGTCTTCCTATTTTCAATCTTCACCTGAGGATATTTTGTTTAATTACTGATTTTAGAGAGAGAGGAAGAGAGACAGAGAAACACCGATGTGAGAGAGAAACATCGATTGGCTGCCTCTCTCGCACACCCTGACCAGGGATCAGACCCCCCCAACGAGGCACGTGCCCTGACCAGGAAGTGGACCAGCAACCCTCTGGTGCCTGGAACAACGCTCCAACCAACTGCGCCACCCAGCCAGGGCGGTGACAGTCTTCTTCACCATGTGTTAAACCATGCTATTTCCTTCCAAAAAGAACAGTAAGAAATAGCTAAACCATCAACGCGCTGATAGGAGGGGGCATTACAATGAACTACGGTTGGGGCTACGGAATAATCGTCAGGACCTGAAGACAGGAGAGTGAACGGCACTACGTGGCAGGACACTGTTTTAAAAGGGAAGATCTGCTAGTGAAGGCAGGGAACAAAGAGCATCCTGAGGGAGAGGATGACATTCTCTCTAGGGGAGGGTGTCGGGCCACAAAGAGAGCTAAGTTCCACCTCTGGAAAAGGAAATCGGCAGGTGAGAAAGAGCACGTCTTCTGGAAGAAACTGTGAAATTCTGAATTTCAGTCTGTTGTCGTCCTAGGAGGAGGCTCCACTCTTCTTCGAACAATCAAGTCCTGTAGTCCAATAATGATTAAGTTATATAGCACTTAATCACATATCTGACTATTCTGGACAAGGAAGAATAGAACCCTTGATACAGTTGAGTAAACAAGATATATAAACACATACACAAACAGATCGAGTGCCGTGTCTAGCCAATAAAGTTTTTAATAGCCAGTAAAGGCTGCAGATCTTAGATTTCTGCACAACTAATGGACGCGGGCATACGGGTAATGACTTGGCTGTTGGCCACGTTATAAAAAGTAGGGGTAAAAAAACACATGCTAAAAAGTTTACAGTAAAATCTCATAAAGGTCACTTTATTTCGCTACCCATACCCTACTTTCACTGATTCACATACAAGGTTAACACTTTCATTTTTCACAGCCCCAGGTGGAAAAGTAAAGCAGAACGGAGCAGGAATGTTGGAGAAATGTGTTCGAGCATCAGTAAGGTCACTGCCGACAGGAAAGAGACGACAGTAAACGACACAGTAAGTGACGACAGACGGGAAACACCAGACAGAGCAGATCGCTCAAACAGCACAACTGGCTGGGATTCTTCAATGAGCGGGGAAAGGCGGGGAGAAATGCCCTGAAAATGTCGCAATGTGATTGCTGATGCCCCGAACTGGTGTGTCTGAGTCCTCAGAAGGGTCCATTAGTTCATGTTACTGGAGAGACAGGTAACAATACGGCACGTTTTATGGTACATTTAGAACGCAGCGTCAAGTACTACGGCGGCTACTGATTACCTCCCATAAGCCATGGTTTTATTTTCCTCCCCACCCCCTCAACTTGCTCCCAATCAAAGACTAAGCCTGGGTCTGGAAAGAGAGGACTACAGCAAAAGAATTGTTCCAAAAACCTAGGCCTCAAAACACAGCAACAACTGTGTAAGGTTGGAAGGGCGTGAGCAAAACTGAAGTCTAGATAACTTTACTTATCTTGAAAGACTCAAGTAGGTCAGTTTACTTTCAGTAACATTTCTACGGAAGTTTCTTGCCTGCCCACCCTCCTTTTATCTTCCTACAACAAAGCTACATAGTCCTTTCAGTTCAGACTTCTAAAAAAGGAGAACCCCAAGCCCCAGCATCAACATCACCTGAAAACTTCTTAGAAATGCAAATTCGAAGCCTGGAGCCCCAGGCCTACAAGTTCAGAAACTCCTAGGGCAAGGCCAGCTGGTCTGTGGTAGATCGCATTCTCCCTCCAGGCGACTGCGATGCTTACTAAGGTTTGGGAACCACTGCTCCAGATACTAAGAATAGAAAAGGCAGACAATTGTTGATTTATAGAACAAAATGATTCTTCAAAAGATGGAAGTGACAAAAGGGAATAGGGAAGGAAAGTCTATTATGGAGACTGTGCATTATTAGAGACCATGTCCTTGGTAGATTACGGCCCCACTATACCACTAGCAACCTCCAATAAGTAGTAGCATAAAGATGGTACCTTCCAGATGTTTTAGGAGTGCCCTACTGCTATTTCCATGAGCAGATATCAGAATGGTTTTGCCACTCAACACTTCAGGAGCAATCCTTTCATTCCAAAAGGGAAGGAGTCTCTCCAGAACATCCTTCAAACTCTCAGACCGCGGCAGCCGATCCAAGGGTACGTCGCACACTTTGTACCTCCGGTCGTTGTAGATTTCGTGGTAGTAAGGGTGGGACTCTTCAATGGGTGGCGGAGTCACATTGTAGCTTCTCCTCCAGATCCTCACTTGCTCTTCGCCATGATTCAAAGCCATTTTCTCCCTGTTGAGACCGATCAAGGCTCCATAGTGACGCTCATTCAGACGCCAGGAGCTTTCCACAGGAACCCACTCCTGCCCCAGCTCTTCCAGGATCAGCCAGGCTGTGTGGATGGACCGGTTAAGGACGGATGTGAATACGAGATCGAACTCAAAGTTCAGCGCTTTGAGCTGTTTCCCACAGTTCCGAGCTTCTTCCATCCCCTCATTATTAAGTTTCTGATCCACCCAACTACAAAAACGGTTCTCTTTGTTCCAAGCACCCTCTCCATGTCTTAACATAATCAGTTTGTACTTGGACATGCTGCTGGATGAGCTTCCCTCGTGCCTTCAAACGGGCCGGTGTTCAATGACAGAAAGACATCTAGAAAGAGAAGAAACAGACAGCATGCATTATATTCTTCAGTCAGCTGACTACCTGGGAAAGGAAGCACATGTCACAGCTGCCAGTTTCTAAAATAAACTCGGATAATTCCTTTGAACGGTTTTGAAATCGGACATCCGGCAACTCACGCACTATGGTACATACAGGCATGTTCTACTGATAATTAATTACAGGAAACCTAGTTGACTTAAATTGTCTGATGGTTAGATAGTATGTTAATTGTATGATGTACAATAACCAGGACACTTCATTCTGATGGCATGCTGCCTTTCTGCCAGATCAAAGGAGTTTGTTTACAGGAGAGAGGATGTAGCAGAATGAGTTGTAGATGTCTACAAAGATGACTAGTAGCTGACTCTACATTGAAGGCATCCTTCTCACTTTGTTTTTCCTCTGGTGGAAAAAGAGTAGTTGCCAGTCTCACCTTGTTATGGAAGTTACTAAACACGTTAATTCAATAGTCCACCACGTTTATCAGGTAAGCAAACCACTGGCTGGTGGCAACTAGCTCTTCAACGCCACAGGCTACACCACATATGAGAAAATCTAAGGTTCCACATTCAAACATCAAAAGTGATTTACAGCAACGGTAACACCTAACATGATACTCACCTAACTAATCTCTCACCTGCCTCAAGACAGAGCTTTAGGAAGGAATAAATCCGGATGCAAACACGCTATCAAAAGCGGGCAGCTGAGAAGTGCTGCCTGTAGTAACAGATTACAGGGAGCTGGTCTGCTGGAGTGAGAGGAAGCTCCGTGATAAGGAGGCCGCGTCTCCTCCTCCCAACCCTCTGGTTATCCTACACACACACCAGCCACAGCTCAGAGGGAGAAGAATCTAGTAACGCAGGGAACCGCAACCAAAAAGTGTTTTGAACTTTCTAAGTTCAGGTGCTGCCCCCCAAGATCTGCTGGGCCCACCGTGTTCCCCAGGGAACCTGCTGCCTGGTTGCTTCAGCCTGCCTGCCTTCACCTTGCAGGGGACACACCTTCACGACAAGTGCTGGCCGGTTTGCATGCCCGGCGCTCCCCACCTCCGCCCCGGCCTTTTCCACACGCAGGGAGGAAAGATTATGTGACCATCAGGGCCTGGTCTCCTGCCATTCTTGGCAACTTCCGTTAACTGGAGATTTTCTGTCCCACTTCAACTGTGATTCAGCCACAGTTACATAACCAACAGTGGCAAAGTTAACTGGAATCTAGATCAAGTTTCTTCCTTTCTGTACTAATCCCTAGACATTCTGAAGGTGGGAAAAGACTTGACGAGAAGGCTTCCGTGGGCGGCAGCAGGTTGAGGTGAGGTGCGTGCAGCCGGAAGGCTCCAGCGGTTAGGGTTAAAGTTCCCCCCTTCCCACCAAGCACCAGGTTTGAAGCCTCAGTGCGTGTGCAGCAGGGAAAAAGCATGAGGTCAGAGGAAGAGCCTGAGCTCGGGGCTCATATGAAGGCCCCTCACCGAGAATTTCCGGAGGGAGAGTGATACCTCTGCGCTCAGGCCACAGGGCCACTGGGGTATCCGAAGAACAGAGAGTGGGTGAAGGCATCTGGGCGGTGTTTGGCCAGGTGATTCCTGGTGCCCAAAAGCAGCATGATCAGGAAGCTGATGAAGCTCAAGCTTCAGGTGCCCACACTGGACCAAACTCTTTCTAAGGCACTGGGAGACCAAACAATGAATTCATAGGGGTGAGTGTATGCAATTTACACAAGAAAGGTATTTTGTATCATTTCTTTAAAGGGCTCCAATTCATCAACTTGTAGAAGCTTTAGGCCCATCAGAAACTGGATCCACCCCTCTAACATTCCTTGTCTTGTTTTTTGGTGGTGGTGGTGGAGGAGGACGGAGAGAAGAGAAGTTCTCAACAACTTCTCTGCCTCAACACTTATTTTGTCTTGTCACGCTAGAAGCCTTCTTACATGAATGGACTATGTTTCCTTCAAATGAAGAGGCATATTATGGACAAATTTTGTGGGCAGAAGCACTTCTCCATCATCTTTTGGTTATGAACTCTATCACAGGGACAAAAAAATGCAGCAATAACATCAGGGACACTCAGGCACCTAATATCAAGCTCTGCGGTATTTTAATCTGCAACATTTGCTTACTTTGTTTAAGGAACAAAACACTTTCTCTGTTTTTTTCCACTCAAAATATATAGGAGGTCTGTCCAGAAGAAGTGCAGACATTGTTAACATAACAAGAACAGTTTGTGCAACATCGATGTAACCTGGCAGCCCAGGAGAGTGGACTGGAGTGCACATGCGTGAACAAAGACGACGTCACTGTATCAGTCAGCGGGGGCGGTAGACGCCTTTCAGTGAGCATGTGCACTATGCAGTGTCTTCAAAATGCAGAGCAAAGCATCTGCATCAGGTTTTATGTTAAACGTGAACATCCTCCACAGAAACCATCTGGATGATTCAGAAGCCTGCAGCTATGGGCACCGGCGATTGGCAGCTTCATCACAACAATGCACCTGCTCATGCATTGTGTCTCATGAAGGGTGTTTTGGTGAAACATCAAATAACCCAGGTGACTCACCCCCTACAGCCCAGATTTGGTGCCCTGTGACTTCTGGCTCTTCCCAAAACTAAAATCACCTTTGAAAGGGAAGAGATTTCAGACCATTGATGAGACTCAGGAAAATATGACGGGGCAGCTGATGGTGATTAGGAGAACTGTGTGAGGTCCCAAGGTGCCTCCTTTGAAGGGGACTGAGGCATCATTGTCCTACGTACAATGTTTCTTGTACCTTGAGTCTTCAATAAATGTCTTTATTTTTCATATCGCATGGGTGGATACCTTTTGGACAGACCTTGTATACTGGAACAGAGAAACAGTGCTACAGCCACAAAGATTATATAAACACGTACCCTTCCCTCACTCTGGCGCAGAGGCTGTGAATATAGAGCAAGGTCCCCAGCTCAATGCATCTATCTCAGGTAAACAAAAAACCACTTCCCTCTGCCCTCCTTGCTGCTGTCAACGGACTTTTCCCATCTCAAGTAACTGCTAAATATTTACAAAGGGCCTGTTGAGCTTTAAAGCTGGCCGTCTTTAAGATTTTAGTCAGCACAGGAGCTGGTGTGCCAAGTGTCCCCCAACAGACACACAGCACCAGTCAGCTGGACTTGAAGTTTAAGGCCCGGCCAGCAAGTTCACGTGTGCCACTGGCCACACAGACTCGTGAAGAACAGGGGTGCAGGGGCACAGGGTGGCGGGAACAGCGGTGAGCTGCAGGGAACACACGTGCCGCTCTGATGGACTCCGCTCTTGTGTAAACCGACCGAGCTTTTGTATTCCCTGGTCTCACTGAACTAAGGGTACCATTCTTAGAACTTTCCTGAAGAACTGAAAGACGGGACTGCTGAAATCAGAAACTGGAGAGAATGCGAGACTTAGAGGGTCGGACCACAGAGAATCTATCGATTCCCGTTGTTTTGAGCATCAATAAATGCTTTAACAAAATAAAAACTATCATTTTAGCTCCTACTGCAGAAGTGAGGTTCCTGGATCTTCCAGTTGCCAAAACACTGGAAATGTGCACTTGTACCGGATACCTGACCTAAAACCGCCGACCCATTCTCAAATGCGAGCTAAACCAAACATGTCTGCAGGCCAGACTGAGTCTGCTGGTGCGTGACCTGTGACTTAAAGGGAAGTGTCCTCCTGGCCACAGACGAATGGGGAGGCCCCAGGAGATGGTCAGACCCCCGGCCTCCGGGCTCTAATCCAAGCTTCCCTCTGTTATTGTCCAGCACACTCTTGCAAAGGACAGACCCTCTAATCCCCGTTTGTGCTGGGCTTCCTTGCTCCTGACCCCGCGGAGTCCCAGCTCTGTAATCAAACTCCCACTCAACTTTGGACTCTTCCTGGAATGCTTCCTCCAGGGCTGAGCTGTAACCAAGCCGAAAATGAACTGAATGCAAACTACCTCCCAGTTGTCTGCTTCTCTCTTCGGTGGGGGGTGTTTGTGCCTCACATCCTGGGGCAGGTGCGAGGGAAAGTAGGGTCCTGCTCCCTCTCAATGGTATTTCCCAACCAAATACCTCCACTTTACCATCTTTCTTTCTTTTGTGGGGGGCAGAGGGCTTTGCTTCTGATTGTATTGTTATATTCAACTGTAGCTGTCTTGCCCTCATTTATTAACTGCAAGCTTCCTGAAAACTGAGCATACCATTAAAAACCCTCAATTACTTCCTGTTGATCTGAGGATAAAGCTCAAAATCATTAATGAGACCTGCAAGGCTTAGGTTTCATTTCCTCGAGAATGCCCTGTTCTTTCTTGCCTCAGGACCTCTGCACACCCCCGTGTCCCACCCAGAACCCCGACCCAGCCCATGGCCGCCTCCCCTCCACGTGCACCTCAGTCCCTCGCTGCTTTAGGTAACGTCATCGTCCTTCAGACCAGCTGTCCCCAGTCAAAAATACCGGGTCCGGCAGAAGTAACGCCTGCTTGAGTGTGGTTGGCCTGGTATGTGAACGTCTCGCACGAGACGGACAGCAATTTGAACGTTTCACCTAAAATGTCCCATGGTGTGCTTGAGTGTGATATCGTTATGTTACTGAATCACATGCTTATGATTTTGGAATGAAAGATTTTGGAATAAAAAAAGGGGCATTCTTTGTGCTGGGCCCTGTATAATGCAAGTCACATATGTTCTAAAGCCGTATTAAGAGGTAAAAAGCAACAGGTAAAATTAATTTGAATAATATATTTTATTTACCCCTATGGGTTCAAAACTAATCATTCCAAGACTGATCTATATAAAACTCTTAACAAGGTATTTCACATTCTTCTTTTCACAGTAAGTCTGGTGTGTATTTTATACTAAAGCACACCTCACTTTGGACCAGTAACATTTCAAGGGCTCAACAGCCACACGTGACCAGTGGCTACTGGATTGAACGGGGCGTTTTAGCGCTCAGCTTACACGTTAGCCTGCGAGCCGCTCCACCGCCGGTCTGACTTACGGCCGTA